GAGCCGGGGTTGGAGCTGGAGCCTGGAGCTGAGCCGGAAGCAGGAGCGGAGCCGGAAGCAGGACCCGAACCAGAAGCAGGAGCGGAGCCAGAAGCAGGAGCGGAGCCAGAAGCAGGAGCGGAGCCAGAAACAGGAGCTGAGCCGGAAGCAGGAGCTGAGCTGGAGCCTGGAGCTGAGCCGGAAGCAGGAGCCGAACCGGAAGCAGGAGCCGAGCCGGAAGCAGGAGCCGAGCCGGAAGCAGGAGCCGAGGCAGACCCCGTCGAGGCGATGTCATACTCGTCTTCGACGAGGAAACGAGCCTGGCGCATGGTGCCGACACTCTGGCCACCTGGGGAAGGTGGAAGAGTGACACCTGGTGGAAGAGTGACGCCCGGCGGAAGGGTAAAGCCCGGTGGGAGAGTGACACCCGGAGGAAGGACAATACCATCCAGTGGAATGCTCTCAGGCAGATTGTCGGGCAACAGACCGAGACCCTGTCGAGAAGGTAGACGTTAACATGACCTGGGCGAGGGGAGAGGGAGAGAGCAGAGCGAGGGGCAGGTGGAACGAGAAGCGGGAAATAGATGGATGCAATCAAGGTGTTTGAGGAGGAGAGAAATACCTGAATGACCGGGTACAAGTCCATCAGAACATGAATCGGATCGCCGGCGCCCGGGCGCAAACCGAGTGACCGGAGGGTGGAGCCACGAACGTGCGCCTCCCCGGCACCAATCGGCCGGAACTTCCAGCCAGCACCAACGGCAATGTCCTGCGAGGGAGGGATGAAGAAGAGGGGAGGGGGAGGAGAAAGAAGACAGCAGATGGAGCATAAGCATCAGGAAGCCATTGAGAAGAAGTCAAGGAAAGGCGGAGGAGGGGGAGGAGGAAGATGTGCGAGGGCACACGCACCGATTCCAGCTGCGAGTCGATCACCATGACTGTGGCCTGGACGATTGGGGGGTCGGCCACCGCGGTCGCCGTGACAGAGGCAATGCCACGACGACCGGTCGAAGGCAGCCGCGACTGGCCAGACGCACTGCCGCTGGATCCCGCCTCGGCCGGGGCACCCACCTGCATGGGGAGGGTCACATTGACAGGGATGTACCACCGGGGAAAGGCGCCAAGGGCACTGTGACCAACGTAGGGGAGCTGCCATTCGGCCACCGGCTGTCCCGGCGCACCGGGGGGGTACAGCCGAGATGCGATCTCCGTGAAGTTCAGCAAGATGGATTGCTGCGTGGCATCGACCACCGGGGGGTCGGTGGCGGAAGGGGGCTTGAACCAGGCCGGCGGGCCGACCGTGGTGTCATACCCGGCGAAGTGGTCCCCATTCAATGTGGTCCGCTGGAGGTCCGGCGCCAGCATCACATCGAACTGGCCGACCTGGTCCTCGGACAGGCGGCTGAAAATGTGCGGAATGCGCGGGAGCACATTCTGGATGAGGCTGTGACAGGGGCCGAGGGGAGGGCGGGGTCAGATGGAGAGGCGGAGGGAGCAAGAGAGCAAGCCAGCACCGAATGGACGGGGTGCGCACCTGAGGAAGCAAACGATCAGGAAGACCGTCAGAACACCGATCGACAGGGAACGCGCATCCCGACGCGAATCGCGCATCACATAGATGACAGCCAGCCGCAGCCGGGCCAGGAAAAGGCGCATGGTTTCCAAGAACGACAGGGAATTGCCCTTGCCCTTTGGTCGCCGGTCTTCACATGGACGGAGAGGCGAAGCACCAGCGCGAACAAGGCCCAGCAGTCAGACAGTGTGGCCAGGGCAGAGGGGGTGGCCGAGCAAGGAGCACATACCGATAAAGCCCTCCGAGGCAGTGGATGACGCGTCATCATCA